CACATACACATTAAATCCTCGCTCCAGCAAGAAATGGTGTTCTCCCAAATCTGAGCCTAACTTTTAAATCAAATTTTGCTCCACAGAATATGCATGTCATTAGGTCAGAGTTCTTTGCTCTGTTCACGTTTTCACCCCTAAATAGGGAAGGCCAGACCCGGGGAAGGGGCTTGCTAAACTCTGAGTGAATTGTCTTGTTGATTTGAAGCCTGAGCTCCGCCCACCTCACCGTCCCACATTTTACCCAGATGCCTTTTTCACCACAATTTTGATGCCCATGGTGCACAGCTATGGCATTGACAATGAATGGATATATAAAGCTCTAGGATGTCGAAGGTATTTCCCGCGTTTTTGCATGTGAATGTGATGATAGTTCCCAGTGCTATTAGACAAGGTTTACTCCCTGACCAGTGCTAGGAACTTCTTCCACAAAGGGGAACAGAGCTGGGCCAGTATCTGTTTAGTACTCTCTTACTACCCAGGAAGGGAAAGAGGGGAGTGACCTGGGTAAGCCATCTATGGCTGCAGGAAAAGGAGCATCAGCCAAAAAAGAAACAGCTGGCGCAGAAAGGGCTGCTTTCCTTTCGCTGGGAATCAGACACTAGGTGACAGGTCTTCCAACCCCTCAGCAGGGCTGGGATTTGTCTTCTGGGATCTGAACTTCAGGTCCCAGGGATGTTGGGGATCGGAGAGGACATTTTCTACTCATAGCCTACTCCTGGGCATAGAGAAATGGTTTTAGGAAATACCAAAAAATTCTGTGATACTCTTCCCTTCAAAAAAAAAAGAGGTGCCCATTTCCCCTCTTTGTGGGCTGGAGTCAGTAACAGCAGGACATAAATGGCGCAAAGCCCAAGAGCTGTTGAACTACTCTGGAGAGAAGGTTCCAGAAGGGGCTGTGCTTCCTGCTTGCTTGCTCTTGGGCACTTGCTTTGGTGGGTGTGGGAGGAGGGGTGAATCTTGCTGCCACACTGGGAGCCCACTTAGGCAGCCCTGGTGAGGAAAGGATACTTTCCCAACAGTTCAGAAACTCCCAGCAACCTAGAGAGTGAAACGTCTCCGGCTGTGTGAGCCCCAGAAGACTCCTTTCTGGCCCACAGCGTGTCTCTTCACTTGCTGGGTGAACCTGGGCCAGAATCATCCAACCAGAACACTGTTCCCCAGTCTTCAGGAATTAATGTAACTGGGTGGTCCTCTTGGGGGGAGGGCCCGGGGGCAAGGAACCTGGAATTTCCCCTTTTCCTGGGGACCACCCTGTTACTTTATGATCTCTTAAACTGGCCTTTTAAACTGCTAATGTTTTGGTGCTTCATTACCCTACAGTAACTGATGGGATAGAAAAAACAATGGGAGTCATCTGATCAACCCTGCGGTGGTTTGGAAGGTGGGGCTCAGTGTGTGGGGTTCTTGGGCGCTTCTGAAAAAGAGTCCAGAGTCCATCAGTGCACTGCCGGCCTATTAAGGAAAAGTAGACACTTGTTTAGACCCAGGCAGACACCTATAAAAGATAGTTGAGTTTTCCCGGGGTTGTTATCAATCACCCATGTCAGTTTCCCTCAGCCAACAAAAGGAAACAGTTTGACGAAAAGAAAGTGGTTGAATGTGTCCACGAATAAGTAGAGCGGCAGACTGCTGTCTGAAAGACAGGGTCCTGCCCTTTGGCAGGGTTATTTATAGAGCGACAGAGGAGCGAGGTAGGCAAGGGTCTGCAAGGGAGAGGGGTGGGCATGGCGCCAGCTTGCTTTGGTCAACAACTGCTCTTGAGCTCCCTTTCCTTGGAACGCAAGGAGTCAGACCTGCAAACCAGCAGGAACAAAAGGAATAACGACTTGCTCACGCTTGTCTGAGACCAGCCCTTTGTAGCTGTATCAGAGTAAGGAGGGTTCTTTGATGAAATTACTGTGAAACTATCACCTTGGAGTCAGAGGGGGGCCCTCCATGATAATCCTCTCCGTTCCTTGCTGAAATTATTGTGAAACTATTACCTTGGAGTCAGAGGACGGGTCCTTCATGATAATCCTCTCTGCCCCAACCTCTGGCTTGTAATCTTTCCTGACCCCACCTAGGATTCCTGGAAACTTTCAAAACCGGTTTGGGATGGACTAATCCTCCCTGCCCCCACCTCTGATGTGTCACTTGAGATACTCCTAAATGTTCCATTCTCGGCTTCCCTCGAAACTCACGAGATGGATGAGCAGTGGCACAGCTCTGCACTGCAACACCGGGAAGCCTGGGCTTGCCGGAACTTGTTTGCATTGCCAAGCCATCAGCAGCCATGTGGCTGTTCTCCAGCGAGACTGGAGACAAGTGGGGAGAGAGGAAGCACCACCAGCTTCCTCTCAGGCCCGTCAAGCCATCAAGCCCACATCAGACAGATTAACAGGAGAAAATACCCAAATGAGTGCTATATGTATTTATGGCAGGACAGCACAGATGCGGATGCTAAGGTCAGAGAAAAAATGGAGTCATATGGTGAAGGCTGGAGGGAAATCATCCTCTTCCCCTCTGCCTCCCAGCAAAAAAAGCAAACAAGCTTCACTCAGACTGATAAAAGCCAGAGATCCCCTTTCACACGGTGATTGTCTCCACGATATATTTAAGGATATATTTATCAGATGTATTTAAGGAACAGATTTATTTTAAAAGGGAGAGAAAAGAGGACACTTACATAGAAGTGAGTGGGCAGAAAAAGCTACTCTGAGAGGGACAGGTCTTCTGAGGCCTGTGTGGCCACAGGCGGGCGACCTTGAGGAAAGCGACTTCTGCTGAGTGAGGGCAGTGAAGAGAAGCCCAGGCAGGGGCAGGTCAGGGGCAGGCAGGAGGCTGCTGCCCTGAGGAGGGAGAGGGGGTGGGAAGGACAGCTACATAGTTAGCTGGGCAGAAAGAATGCTGCTCCTCTGTGGGGAAAGTGCTGGGTTTTACCATCTTCTTTTTTTAGAGAGGCTCTCAGCCTCTTCAATGGACTTTTGTTCCTTAATCTCCTTATCTTTACCTTCAGGTACAGTTTTCCACACTCCCCTTAACAGTTTGGCAGGGTGTCTGGGTGTGGTGCCTCCCCTTAAGGGCTTTGAGGCCTAAGGGTTTGGTTTCCCTAACTTGGTTAACGTTATGCTAATCCCTTCTACCCCACCTCCTGAGTGAAAGGTTCCTGACCTTGGAGTCCCCCCTCCAGCCTTTCTATTCTTATCCTCCATCAGTAACAACACTAGTTTCAGGCAATACCCCCAGCTTTCATTGTTAAGTAATAAAGGGAGTGGTAAAGTTTGCTCCAGAGCCTGCCAGCCCTAGATGGACCTCACCTTGAGAGAGTCACACATCAGGCAGCACCTCATGGGAAGGCTTGCTCTTGACATCTGGGGAGGCCCTGTTCAAGAGCAATAAAATAAAACTGATTTTTCCTCTATTTAGTAATAACATAGTTCTTGACTGAGTTTCCCTTGTAATAAAAAAGTCACAATTAATAGTTAAAAACAACCCAAATTTAATTCTACCCATAGATATGGGAGCTCTGCTAAGACATGAGAATCAAAAGAAGCTCGTCAGAGAGGGCACGGGGACCTTGAGCTCTGGAGAAGGAGGTCTAGGGGCACACAAGAGGAAGGCAATTCACACCTGAGAAAATGTTCAGTGAATAAATGTTTGCTTAACTAAGCAGATAGGTCTCACTGGTGAAAAAGTTCTATACAAGTTCTTGCCGGTACAGCTCTGAGTTTAGACAGTGAAGGGGAGGTGAAAATGCTTTTCCTGTGTCTGCTTGGATTTGCAGTTGCCTTCAATGTCAAGTGCCAACCAAGGCTTAAATTGGGGTGGCACAATTAACTCCCAGGGTCACCCAGGGTAAATAAGTCATGTAGTGAGGCCTAGGCCAACACAAGGTGAGTGTAACATTTTGCACATGCAGTAAGTGGAGAGGTGTTTCTAAAGAACTTGGACACTGAGTCTTGGGATGGTTATTTCTTTAGCGGGCAATCAATCATACGATTGAAATATGAAAGGTGAACATTGCTGCTGCTTGGGAAGCGCGATGGGTCAGGAGAAAGAAGTTTCCAACGACAGAACCTGATCCTCGAAGAAAAGCCCAGCCTTAGGGAGGTCCTGCCATGGCCAATCCTGGACACAGCCCAGGGAAAACATTTCTTCGCCCTGGATCAAGCTTCTCCCTAATCTTTCTGTGATGCACTTTATGTGTAAGTTTAAGGCACGGGATTTCAAGGGTGAGATTCCCAAGTTCGACCAAGAAAGGGTATTTTTGCTTGCTTGCCGACTCGCCAAGCAAATGGCAGACAAAGCTGATTTTGCTCCAACTTCGTAAAGCGCTTCTAAGTAGGGTGAAGGAAACAGGAGGCAGTGCTTCATGGACTCCGCCCTACTCCAGATGCTGGAACTCCAAATCCCATCAGGACCAAGAAGAAGCACGCAGGGATGTGAGGGCAGAGTCCATGAAACCTGTACCTGTTACACTCCCACAAAAACTGTGGCGTGAGAAGGTAAACAAGAGGAGGGGCGGTCACCTGGCAAAGAATGGCAAGTGAGAACCAACTCTGAGAAAGGCCAGGGAGCCCTCCTGAGGCTTCGATGCTTGAATTTGTCACTTCGCAGACTGATCAAATTGGGTTTCTACAGAAATCACATTGGGTGGGACAGAAACTTGCAGAAGCTCATGCTTGCAATCACAGCTCCAGAGCAGACTGTCCTTGCCCAGCCACCAGTTGCTAGAGACATCGATGCTGAAAGGTGACTGGAAAAGAGCTGAGCCAAGGGGCAGAGTTCTAGCTGCCGGGCGCACAACCCTATACTGCAGAGGTGGGCTGAGGAATTTCCGTCAAGCTTCCTGGCAGCCCTGGGAGTGTGGAAGCACCGCCCTTCCAGCTACGAAAACGCGGCGGCCTTCCGGGAGGAGTCAGGGAACGCGCGCGCGCGGTTCCCAAACTGGTCCGACGTAGGGCTATATAAAAGGGAGCGACCTCAGCCAGCGGCATTAGCTCTCGATTTCTGTCAGTATGTCTGGTCGCGGCAAGGGCGGGAAGGGTTTGGGCAAGGGCGGCGCCAAGCGCCACCGCAAGGTGCTGCGCGACAATATCCAGGGCATCACCAAGCCCGCCATCCGCCGCCTGGCGCGGCGCGGCGGCGTCAAGCGCATCTCGGGGCTCATCTACGAGGAGACGCGCGGGGTGCTCAAGGTCTTCCTGGAGAACGTGATCCGCGACGCCGTCACCTACACGGAGCACGCCAAGCGCAAGACGGTCACGGCCATGGACGTGGTGTACGCGCTCAAGCGCCAGGGCCGCACGCTCTACGGCTTCGGCGGCTAGAGGCCGCGCAGCCTCCACTCTGAACCCAAAGGCCCTTCTTAGGGCCACCCACAGCGTCTGTGAGACCTGTAGACACTGCCTGGGGTTCTGGGGTTCGGTGCGGGGAGCTGTTAGGGCACGAGAGAGGCAAACAGCAGTAGCTACACGTCAGTGACCCCGCTAGTTCCAAGGAGAAGCCCCTAGTTCTGTCAGCCGCTCCCGATTTCCAAAGGTTGAGCCTACTACGGGTCCGTGTTTTAACAAAGGTTCTTTGACGCAGAAACGGCCAGCGGGAAGCGCCCCGTCGCCGGCGTCTGCAGGAAAGCGGCGTTTCTGACGCCGAGCCCCGTCGCAGTCACGATCTCGGGCCTCTAGCACCTAGTGTCCCTTCTCGGAGAGCTAAGGGCCGGAGTGTCCAGTCAGCGCAATGGGTTCACCACACAGCCTCCACGCTGTCCTTCCTCCGTCGCTTCTCATGTGAACCCCGATAACTCAGTGCCAACCGCTCCGTCTTTACTGAATACAAAGCACGGAGATTCTCAGGGCGCTTTTTAGCACTAAATGTGCCCCAGAGGCTTTTTGAAGAAACTTTCACTACGTCAAACGATACCTCAGCGAGGCGGGAAAAGGCGCCCGGGCGGGGGTTCTCGTCTGGGGGGGCGGGAGCCCGCTTGGGGGCGGGGCCTCCGCCGGCCAATCAGCGCGCGAGCGGCTCTATAAAGTGCGGGCGCGCGGCCCCGGCCTCAGTCCTCGCGGCGCTCTCAGTTCCCGGCCATGGCCCGCACGAAGCAGACGGCTCGCAAGTCCACCGGCGGCAAGGCGCCCCGCAAGCAGCTGGCCACCAAGGCGGCCCGCAAGAGCGCGCCGGCCACGGGCGGCGTCAAGAAGCCGCACCGCTACCGGCCGGGCACCGTGGCGCTGCGCGAGATCCGGCGCTACCAGAAGTCCACCGAGCTGCTGATCCGCAAGCTGCCGTTCCAGCGGCTGGGGCGCGAGATCGCGCAGGACTTCAAGACCGACCTGCGCTTCCAGAGCTCGGCCGTGATGGCGCTGCAGGAGGCGTGCGAGGCCTACCTGGTGGGGCTGTTTGAGGACACCAACCTGTGCGCCATCCACGCCAAGCGCGTCACCATCATGCCCAAGGACATCCAGCTGGCCCGCCGCATCCGCGGCGAGCGGGCGTAAACCCCAGGGTCGCCACACTACCCACAAAGGCTCTTTTCAGAGCCCCTCCATTGTCACCAAAGGGAGCTGTTCACTCTTTTAAGTCACAGGTCTCCAGGAACCATGAGTGTTTTATGAGCCCCTTGCGCTGGGGAGAGCTGTTCACTATCTAAAAGCAACTATCCCTGCTTAAGTTGCCACTGCTTGCTTTTTTTGGCGCAGTGAAGAGCTGTTATAAAAGTGGAAACTTGAAAAATTATTATGTCATGTACAATGGTATGTGACAGAAGATCCACCCATGAACGCTTCACAGGCAATTCCAATCTGTCGTGTGACAATGTGAAGACTGACTCGGTTGCTCTGTAAGATGGGTTACCGAAGCTCTAAAGAGTATTTCTTTACCCATATATCAAAACGTCTTCACTCTTAAGTTAGGACTATCATTTATTCTTTTAAAAGAACTAAGCTCGGGATTAAACCAAGTCGTGTTACTTCAAAGCTATTCCTGTTTTTCTACACTGAGGTGCAGGGTGTTCTAAGACAATTAGCTTTGGCCAACATTGCGGCTTTTAAGATTCTCATATGCCCCATATCAAGCTTCACTTGGTGCTTCCTTTCGTGGGTGCCCAGCCTAGCTGCTGGAAGCAGCAGATACATCAAGGCTTTTTTCTTGCAGTGTTCACTCTGGTCATCTTGGCCTTCAATTCTCCCCTCAAATCCCTCCATTTAAAATTTTGACTTTCCAGAGTTGTCTGTCTCCCAACCTCTGACTTGGAGCTTTGGGAAAGTCTAGGGGTTGTTATGCAAAAACAGTTTAATGGGATCAGAAACCTCAGTATAGACAGAATTTCAGTGCTCTTTGTTTGGTATAGGGAGAAGTTGCTTCTTAGATTGCTCTCTGTCCATTATTATTCAAGTTAGATCTCTGATCTGCCCTTTACTAGCTATATGACCTTCAACAAGTTACTCATACTCTGGGTTTTACCTTGTACAGCTGTAAGCTGTAGTAAATATATTGAAACCTGTAGAACATCCTTAGATTCATTTCTGGAGCCTAGAAAAATGCACAGTGGACGCTAGTTCTTATTGTTATACTGGTTGACTGCCCCTTAAGCATTGGAGGGTGTTCCTGCATCCATATTCTGAAGGTTCTGTGATTGAAACAGTGGGACGTACATGGCTAGAACATTTTCTAGTTTGGATCTGCAATTCTTAAATTGGTGGATTTGCATTGCTCTGGAAGAAACAGGCTGGTATCAATATACCATCACCTGTGTCTGCGGAGTTCAAAACACAGGAAAATCTCTCAGGCTTTGCAGGTCACATGAGGTCTGTGCCACATAATTTTTTTTTTCTGATGCAATTTTAGAACAATCAAAAAACCATTCTTAGCTTGAGGGCTTTACAAAACAAGCCACTTTTCAGATTTGGCCCTTTTGGTCATACTTAAAATTGCAAGGGATTCTGGAGAAATGGAGTTGACTACTTTAAATGTACCTACACAGACCTTTACAGGAAGAGCTGAGTGACCTAAAATTAATCTAGAGATCCTAAACATCACTCAGACTCCTTTATTTTCCAGGCACAAAATCCTGTCTATTCACTACCACAGTCCCAAGTAAATATAAAACACATTTCCCCTCCATTCCAAACTCATGGTGATTACCTCAGTTCCCTGAGATGTTAGCATATTCCTGAAGTTTTCTGAACCTGGGTATTGCCAGTCCCGCCATACCCAACTCACCTTTCTCAGTCAGTAGCCAATTCTTTTTCTAAGGTACAATCTGTTTCTCTTTTACGCCCACAAAATTACCGACATTAATATCTCCTGATTTCTTACAAAAAATGGTGTTCTTCCTGTTGAATTTGTTAATGCGGTTCAAAAGTTAGGAATTTGCAAGCGTACATAGAAAATCTGGCAAAGTTCTGTCAGCCAAATGGTTTGTGCTTTCAAGGTTACAGGAAGTCCTACAATTTTTAGCAGATTTTATGTTTTTCTAAACATATTATCTGGGTTAAGCATTTCCATCCATATTTTAATGGATATGCCTCGAACAGACAAAGCATCTCAATCAAAAACACCATATTTAAATTTGTGTATGAATCCTGATCGCTGGATTAGACGCCAAAGCAATTTCTATGTGCTTGTTGTAAGTTGGAAGAAGTTGCTCTAGAAATGGAACTTTTCCATTTTCTGAAGAAGCCATTGGCACATGGAAATTAAGAGGAAGAACCGGTTTGTAAAGTATGGTCTATGTGTTTAATTTGGGGTCGGAGATAAACAGCCGCCCAGCGCTGTGTTACTTGCTACAAATGGAAACAAACTTTATGTCCAAACCCGGGACCCTAATGTCTTTCTTCTTGAAAACATCAAAGGCTGAACCCAAGGACAGATACTTTTTTGAAATACTCACTTGATACTTAGTAGAAATTTACTGCAACGTGCAACAAACTAGCACCATGCCCTAAACCCCGTGGACTCCCAGGAAAAGCTGATGGAATTTTCAAAAATATCTTTCCCCAACTGCGCTTCATTCCTGAAAACATAAACATGTATGTAAACCTGGAAGCTACTTTCCTCCTTTAGAGCTTCAAAGTGTCAAATTCTGCATCACTCTTTTCAGCATTTAATCAAATCTTTGAGTCTAACAAACACAATTTGGAAAAGCAACCGCGAGAGGTGGCTGCCTGAGGCCGGTGGACCGGCCGATCCACCAATCACAGCGCAGCACCGGCTTATATAAGCCCCGGGCCCGAGCGAGGCAGCACTGCTAAGCGCGCGCTTTGGCTCTTAGTTTCTCTTCCTTCGCTCTCTCCTCGCCATGTCGGAAACCGCTCCTGCCGAGACGGCCGCCCCGGCGCCGGTGGAGAAGTCTCCTGCCAAGAAGAAAGCCACCAAAAAGGCGGCTGGCGGCGGCGCAGCCAAGCGCAAGGCCGCGGGGCCCCCGGTGTCCGAGCTGATCACGAAGGCGGTGGCCGCGTCCAAGGAGCGCAACGGCCTCTCCCTGGCCGCGCTCAAGAAGGCGCTGGCGGCCGGCGGCTACGACGTGGAGAAGAACAACAGCCGCATCAAGCTCGGCCTCAAGAGCCTGGTGAGCAAGGGCACCCTGGTGCAGACCAAGGGCACCGGCGCCTCGGGCTCCTTCAAGCTCAACAAGAAGGCGGCCTCCGGCGACGCCAAGCCCAAGGCCAAGAAGGCGGGCGCGGCCAAGCCCAAGAAGCCGGCGGGGGCTGCCCCCAAGAAGCCCAAGAAGGCTGCGGGAGCCAAGAAGGCCGTGAAGAAGACGCCCAAGAAGGCCAAGAAGCCCGCGGCCGCCGGCGTCAAGAAGGTGGCGAAGAGCCCCAAGAAGGCCAAGGCTGCCGCCAAGCCCAAGAAGGCGGCGAAGAGCCCCGCCAAGCCCAAGGCGGTCAAGCCCAAGGCGGCCAAGCCCAAAGCCGCCAAGCCCAAGGCGGCCAAGCCCAAAGCCGCAAAGGCCAAGAAGACCGCGGCCAAGAAGAAGTAGGAAGTGCTCTTGAGAAGCGACGAAACCCCAAAGGCTCTTTTCAGAGCCACCCAAAGACCTCTGAAAACAGCTGTGCACTGCATCCGTTCACTGGCGCCAGTTGCGCGACTTAGGCCTGCGATCCGAGACGCAGGCAGCGGTGTCAGCCTGCGGGTTCCAAGCTCCGCAGCTTTTGTGACTGACATTGCAATCTCACATGCCATGCTTTGTCCTCTCATAGCTCGGCTTTTGCTGTCTGACTCGACTGCGTGCGCACTTTGCTGGCTAATGTGCAGCCAGCAGCCAGTTTGTAGCCGGCAAACTGCCACACCACGGTCATTGGGGCGCGTGCGTCAGCGCCGTCCCCACTCCCCCATCCACCACATGTAATTTACCACCCTTAATAAACATAATATTATGTATGCGAGGTTTCTGGTTTAACTGGTAACGGGACACTAGTGACACGGCTCTTCCAAGAAAACTGTAGGTGGCTCTGAAAAGAGCCTTTGGTTTACGCGTAAAGTTCTGAAGTGCGGCAAAAGCCTATTTGCCCTTGGCCTTGTGGTGGCTCTCGGTCTTCTTGGGCAGCAGCACGGCCTGGATGTTGGGCAGGACGCCGCCCTGCGCGATCGTCACCTTGCCCAGCAGCTTGTTGAGCTCCTCGTCGTTGCGGATGGCCAGCTGCAGGTGGCGCGGGATGATGCGCGTCTTCTTGTTGTCGCGGGCCGCGTTGCCCGCCAGCTCCAGGATTTCGGCCGTCAGGTACTCCAGCACGGCCGCCAGGTACACCGGCGCGCCCGCCCCGACCCGCTCGGCGTAGTTGCCCTTGCGCAGCAGGCGGTGCACGCGGCCCACGGGGAACTGCAGCCCGGCCCGCGACGAGCGGGTCTTGGCCTTGGCGCGCGCCTTGCCGCCCTGCTTGCCGCGTCCAGACATGACCGACACAGAAGCACCGGATAGGACAGGCCCTGGCGTCCGCCGGCCGCACCTGCGCTACTTATAGTGGTGGCGGGGCGCGAACTCGGAGCCGTGCGATTGGCCACGGTGAGATTTTCGTTTGCACCAATGGGAGCGCGAGCATGGGGCATGCGCGCGTCGATTGGGGGAACTCGGTGCGTGGCGTCACCGAAGTTGAAGCACCAATCATGGGAGGGCGCGAGGACACCTCATTTACATAATGATGTATATTTCAGGCGGTGCCGCCAGGCGCCTGCGTTTTACTTTCTCCGGATCTTAGACTGATCGCTCGCCATGCCTGAGCCGGCCAAGTCCGCGCCCGCCCCGAAGAAGGGCTCCAAGAAGGCGGTGACCAAGGCGCAGAAGAAGGACGGCAAGAAGCGCAAGCGCAGCCGCAAGGAGAGCTACTCGGTGTACGTGTACAAGGTGCTGAAGCAGGTGCACCCCGACACGGGCATCTCGTCCAAGGCCATGGGCATCATGAACTCGTTCGTCAACGACATCTTCGAGCGCATCGCGGGCGAGGCGTCGCGCCTGGCGCACTACAACAAGCGCTCGACCATCACGTCGCGGGAGATCCAGACGGCCGTGCGCCTGCTGCTGCCCGGCGAGCTGGCCAAGCACGCCGTGTCCGAGGGCACCAAGGCCGTCACCAAGTACACCAGCTCCAAGTGAGCGCCGCCGCGCCCCGGGCTCGGCCCGCACCCCAAAGGCTCTTTTCAGAGCCACCCACTTTCCTAAGAGAACTGGCACTCGCGCTATTTAGCTGTTGGCAAAAGGTAAAAAGTTACAGGTTTTTTTGCATTTTGGAAGGGTACGAGTTACATGCTTTAAGTTGGGGCGTCTCCTAAGACTTCCATGTCTTAGAAACTTCGCAAATGTTTTCTTTTGAGTTCCCTGAAGTTGCTGCTTTGTGCACTTTCTGAAAGGCATTGAGTTCTCTTTCTCCCAAATACGTCCAGCCTGTGTTCAAGCTATCAGCTCCCGGTTTATCCTGTAACTTTAGAAAAAAGAGACCCCGAGTGAACTCTACAGATAACAGATTTGTGGCCTCTTTCCCCACTCCCGGCACCTGAACCACAAGCTCCGTCATCAGAGTGAGGACTGGGACCTGTGGGTGGGGTTAAACAGGCACGTCTGATTTTAAAGCAGAGACGTGGGCTTTTAGCCTCGCACCGCTACTTATTTCCCTTTCTCTTGTAAATAAACCCATTACTAACTGCACCTGCAGTTGAATCTTAAATTTCTTTAAGCACTGTGGTGAGGACCCACAGTCAGGCAGCTCAGAACACACGGGGTTGCCCTGTAACAGTTTCTATTTAGTTGGATTTTTTTTTTTTTTTTTATAATCCAGCTTTATCCAAAATGAGTTTTCTTACATTTGGCCAGTAGGACCTAGGTTTTTTAAGAGGTCAATTATTAAAATGTTTGGGCCCATGACTTTCAGATTTGAGTGATTTCTCTGAAACTCCCTGCTAGTGATCATGTGACTGCCATGAGGCACAGTGAGACTGTTTTGTGGGTTAGTGTGCACATGTACTTGTATATATTACTGAGAAATTTTACATATTAATTTAGCATCTGAAAGCTTCAAACATCTTACCAAACTAGACCTCAAACAACCCATCGGTGTTGATCATGGATGTTTTCTAAACTGAGATTCTAGGCAGAAAAAAGGAACAAGAGGCCTGAGGTTTATCTGCGGTGGGGACCCTGGTATTAGTCAAGGAACTCAAGTCACTAAAGTCGCTGGGAGTTAGGGAGCAAGCTGGAAATTAACAGGCAGTGGAAGAACAGGTGAAAAGGGGATTTTCTAGAATGTGCAGTATCTTATATGACAGGAGTCAGTGTTGGATTTTATTTGAAGTTCTTGGAAGTGTTTCACTTTGGTTGAAGTGTTCCAGAGGGGTTAAAGGGAGGGGGTGCTCAGGCTGAGTTGGCATGGGGTGCTCCACAGAAGCCCCAGGCCCTGCCCTACAGAGGTTGGAACCCCAGGCCTTGCAACCCAACAGTTGCCCTTTGTTCCAGAATAGCAGCCTTGTTCACAGCGTCCTGAACAAAACCAATGTCTGTGAACCACCAGTTTTAATCTGCTATCAGTTGGGGTCAGCAGGGACCACACACATAAGGGTCTGTGAGGAATAAGACCTTGCGAACGTTAGAAGCCATGCTCCAATTCTCTCGTGTGCTCACTAGTGAGTTTTAACTTTTCTTCCATGTCTTTAACTTTGACCTTATGTTCACCTATCTCAAGCCAGGAGAACAAAATCTATTTCCTGGCATGGAACATTATCCATATAAGAAGCTAATAATCAAACTTTGGTCACTGTCTCTTGGTCAGTTTTATGTTCCCAGTTTCTCAATCCTCTTGCATCTAGTGGACCTCAGTTTCATTGACGCATCAGAATCTCTGTAAAATGTTGAAAACAGTACGTTGTTGCCCAGCCCCAAACCAGAGTCTGTGACCGGCCAGAGGCCTGGACATCTATCTAGCACATTGGCAACTCCCTGGTGGCACTGATGGTGTGAGGGCTGAGGTCCACTGCTCCCTGCTGAGGGAAGTGGCCTCTGAGATGCTGTGACCCACCCTGGGACATTGTTCCTGTGCAGCCTTCCCACAAGGGACCAGTTGGTCAACAGGATGTGGCAAAATTGGTGAAATGTCACTTCCAAGGTTAGAGAACAGACTTCCATCCTGCTCACTCTTACTCACTCTTGGATCACTTTCCGCAGCGGAAAAGGCTAGCCCTTGACCAGTAACCCCACCTGCATGTGAGGATCAGAGGCCTCCAGACAGTGGCCACAGGAAGGAACCTTTCCTTGGACTTTGACTCTCCATTCCGTCCAGCCTCAAAGGTCCCAAGTCTGCACTGCAGCTTTTCGAGAGAACTGGAGCAAGGACCACACAGCTCAGCTGTCGCCAGACTCCCGACCCTCAAACTGTGAGCTAATGTATATGCTATGTGTTCAGCTGCTAACTTTTGGCAGACTTATACGACATATCTAGCTGCTAATACACCGATGAAAATCTTAGCAGTTGACTCTATCGTTCAAAATTAAGCCTTGTTCACAAGTTTGCTGCCAAGAAACTTCCTCAGGTTTTCATATTCCGCAATATTTACTCACACCAAGTTCCTATAGCTTAATATTATATATTACAAGATAATTTACAAAGTATAATATCATTGTAGGTTGCAGTATATCGGTAGCCTATTAATATGTAACCTATAACATAGATTTATAGTTATAAAATATAACAATAACATAGTTTTTTCATTACACTTTTATGACCTTGCTTGTTATTTTATTCAGTATTCAAAATTTAGTCATCTGAGTACCAGTGCCATTGGTACAGTTTTTTTTTTTTCTTTTGGCTGTTCCTGGTTGCAACCTTTGCTATTCTGAATATTTCTCCCTAAATCTGCTTTTTAGAAAAGAAATAATCGGGGAGCCCTCCCTGGTGGTACAATGGTTTAAAGCACAGCACTATGAGGCTACCACAGCCACTGCAGCACAGATTGGATCCCTGGCCAGGGGGGTGACCCACAGGGTGCAGCAGACCTCTCCTGACCCCCTACTCTCCTCCTCTGCAGTGTATCTCAGTACATCTGCCTGTTCTGCTCCCCACTCTCTGGTGAACCCTCTCACCCCCCCAACTCCCACACCTGTGGCCTGTACCCCAATTCTGTATGTATAAATAAATCAATCCTTTAAAAAAAGAAAATCAAGGCCCTCCCTGGTGGCGCAGCAGGTTAAAGCACAGCACTGAGAAGTTAAAGCCACTTCCGCATGAGTTTGATCCCACCGGCTGGGGTGGTGACCACATGGTGCGGCAGACCTCTCCTGACCACCTGCTGCTCCCCTCTGCAGTGTACTTCATTGATCTGCCTGTTCTGCTCCCCACTCTGTTCCTGGTGAATCCTCTCACCTTCTGCATCTCTGGCCTGTACCCCAGTTCTGTATAAGTAAATAAATCTTTAAAAAAAAAAAGAAAAGAAAAGAAAATCAATCTATTTTGAAAAATAACTTTATATTATCTCTCTACTGAAAAATTCCAGTGTTGGCTACAAACAGAATAACTATAAAGCTATCTTTAAAAAATGTTAAATCCCAGCTATCTGCTCTTTGCTGTATATGATTTGAGACTGAGTCCTGTTGGTTGTTATAGCTGAAAGATGATTAACACCCGGCAGTAAGGCCTTCAAGGCCTGCCAGCACCAATGGGTGCTTTTCCCAGTTACTCAGAAGGGTCTAAATAGTAGAAAAGAGAAGATTTTCACTCTGTTTTGACAATTTAAACTTCAAAAGAATCCCCTCTGCCCACTGTGTTACTTGGTACAGACCTGGGAACACTGGTGTGATGAAGGCGTTAACTGAGCCACTAGTATATGCCTAACTCAGGAAAGAAAAACACATGACCCAGAGAAGCTCACGTAGTGGTGAACATTTATATGACTTTATTTCTCAAACAGTGTTACCACTACCTAGTTTATTGAGGGAAATAACTCATAATAGGCCTTTTGCATTGTAACTTCCGCGTGTGCGCTCCGAGGTTAAGAACAGGCCTGGAAGCAGTGTGCACCAGCTCAGAAACTCCTAAGAGAACTGGGGCCTTATTTTTTCTGCAATTTGGAGGCAGTCAAGGAGGTCACAGGCTCCTTGAAGCCCCCAGGTGCTCAGCTACCCCTGGAGTGGGCACCAGTCTCCAAAGTGTTCCCAGGGGCCGTGAAACTGCCCCCTGGTTAGGCTGCTTGTCTTCTTCAAGAACAGGTACCATCAGAATGACCTGCTTTGTGCCCCATCGAGTTTCTCTATTTCCAGTATTTTATTCATGTTTATCTCCCTGAAGATCTGGAAGTCTTTGATTTGACGTGCTCTAATGTCCTGTCATCTAGGCAGCTACTGAGTGTCAGAGTTTACAGTATCGCTCTGCATGTAAGGCCCTGTCTTTAGGGAGAGGGCTGTGTGGCAATTAGGTCTTGCGGTTGGCAT